GGGGGCCTCACGGGGCGAGGCAGTACTGCATGGGACCCTCCACTGTGCGGCAAGGAGGTCGAGGCACGCGAGGCGCCGGGTGCTCCTTTGGGGAGGGCGCCTGCGTGGCGAAACCTCCTGTTATTAAGCTTCAAGTTCAGGGCCCCAGGGAGGCAGACGGAACCCCAGGGACACTGGGCTCAAGCCGGAGCCACCCAAAGAGCCAGCCCGTCTCCACTCCGCAGGCAAGGGCAGCCTGCACCGGCAGGCACCGGCTAAGGGCCGCGCCCCCTGCCCCGGGTCCTGGCACGCGGGCCGGACAGACACACTGCCAGGGTGCTTCCTACCTCCAGCCCTGGCCCGCCCTGCCCTCACTCAGTAACCATCTGTGGCTCTGCGTGGCCTCCGGACGCGCTGGAACGCCTTGGCTTGGCTCTGGAGGACGCCGCCACGGAGTTTCAGTCTCTCCCCTCAGTCCCCTTTCCTGCCTCGACACGGCAGCCCCGCCCACGAGAGCCTGGTGGGTGCCCCCCACGCATTCCAGACGTCTAGTCTGCACCCCGTCCTCTGCTGCGGCATCTTCCCTTCCAGACCCCCCTACCGGAATCCCACCTGTGTCTCTAGGTTCAGGACCAAGGCCACCTCCTCGGGAGGCCTCCGCCAGAGTGGAGGCCACGAGGAGCCACAGATGGTTACTGAGTGGGGGCAGGGCGGGCCAGGCCTGGAGGTCATTGCTCTGAAGCTTACAGGCCCAAACCTCAGCCCTTCCACTCCCTCATGGACACTGGGGCCCAGCATACCCCGTCCCCCCAGGTTCAGGGCCACCCGCCCCCTGAGAAGAGAAGCGCTCCTCCCATCAGGGCCACCTGGGACAAAAGGCGGCTGCAGACAGGAGCACAGGCCCCAAGGGCTGCTGACCAATGTTTAAGGCTTCTAAGCCCAGGATCCTCAACACGGACTGGGGGGAAGAGACAGCTTACACCATTAGACTGTCTGGGGCCAGGGGAGCCTTCGTTCCTTGAAATGCAAAGCCAAAACTTTAAAATAAATTTACATTTGGAAAGGAAGCCCAGAGAGCCTTTTGGCCAAGGATGTTTTCTAAAATCGCAAAAGCATATCAGACGATGATTCTGTGGTCAGCCATATTTCCCTTTGACTTTGGCTGCCAGGAAGCTCTGGACAAACCGTTCCAAATGAGTCTCCTCCTTTAAAAATGTGCTGCAGGGTTTTTGATGACTATTTTGGATTTAGCTATAACAGCATTACTGTTTGTGAAGCAAATTCTCAACAGTTCAGTCAATCCAGGCCTCAGCTGGAGGGAAAGTTTTGGATGGAGAACTCTCCTAGCAAGTCCAAAAGCAACACCTCACCACCTGGTGCTGCTTCGAGCTTGCCTGCCCAGGGGATGAAGGCTTCGCCTCATCTTACAGAGCAAAAGTTTGAGCAGCCCCTAAAGCCAACACTGATCTCCGGGGAGGCAGGAGGTACAAGGATCTGAGTAGAGATTTTCAACACAGCAGACAGCCAGATGCAGTGGCTCACACCTGTCATCCTAGTGCCCTGGGAGGCGGAGCCAGGAGGATCACTTAAGGCCAGGAGTCTGAGACCAGACTGGGCACCACAGTGATAGCCTACCTCTACCGAAATAAAAAATAGGCGGGGCTCGGGGGCTCAGCCTGTAATCCCAGCACTTCGGAAGGCGGAGATGAGTGGATTGTGAGACCCGCCCGGGCCACTTGGCGAGACCTCGTCGCTACAATAAATCAAAAAAATGAGCCGGGCATGGTAGCGCGTGCCTGTAGTTCCAGCTCCTTGGAAGGCTGAGGCGGAAGGATCGCCGGAGCCCAGCAGGTCGAGGCTGCGGTGGCCGGGAGCGTGCCACTGCTCTCCAGCCTGGGTGGCAGAGTGAGACTCCAACTCAAAAACAAACAAACAAACAAATAAATAATAAAAAGAAAGAAAAGTTAGCTGGGCATGGGGGTACATGCCTGTAGTCCCAGCTACTTGGGAGGCTGAGGCAGGAGGATCGCTTGAGCCCAGGAGTTCGAGGGTCCAGTGAGCTCTGATTGCGCCACCGCACTCCAGCCTGGGCGACAGAGTGAGACTCTGTCTCGAAAGAGAAAGAAAAAAAAAGTAGCAGACTAGGTGGCGAGAAGGGAGAGGAAATGTTAAGGGCAGGCAGGGGCTGTCTCAACAAGTCCAAGGAAACCCTCCTCTGCCTGGAGATGTGTGGCGCTGCCTCTGGGGACACCACGGCCACCACAGCACACAGAGGGGGCCCTGGACACGCCACTGTTGCCGCAGGCGCCTGGCAGCAGCAGGTCCAGCCATGCCGGGCCCCTCCCCCAGCACACGCATCCCGTCTCACGCCTGGGAAGTCGCCTTGCTGGCCGCCTTGGGCCCCTCCGCCCCACAGCTACAACCCGACAGCCCAGCCGGCCTTTGTTCTCGGACGGTAACGGCCTCTGGCTTCTTCATGCAAGAAGCATGTATTGAGCACCCATTGCGTACACTCCCAGGGGGTGAAGCAGGGAACCTGAGGGCCCTGGCCAGGGGGCCCAGAGCCCGGTGCTTTCCTACGGCCCCCCAGCGGGTTTCTGGGTGGCCTGGAATGAACCCAGGGGTGCTGAGTGTGAATGCCAGAGGGAGGGAGAGGACCAGAAGGAGTTCAGGCAGGCTTCCTGGGGGAGGCGAGCTAGAGTCGGGCAGGAAAGCGGGAGTGGCCCAGGGGCAAGGGCGCAGCCTGTGCCAAGGCCGGGTGGCACGCGAGCTCCGCACACACCTGTTCCCGCCCCTTCCTTATGCGTATCCACAGCGGTATCTTGCTTCTGCCTCTGCGTGGGGTCCTGGCCCGGCCCACCGCTCCCCCACGCGGTCCCCCGGCCCACCCCACCCAGCGCCCACTTACTCCGGAGGCCCTGGGACAGGTGCACACTGCCGCTCCCCGACGCGGGCAGGGAGCACCTCTGGCACATGCATTCCTTCCCGTTGAAGGTCACTCGGTCCCCGGGCGGGAAAGGGAGCCTGAAACAAGAGGGCTTGTTACCAGCAGGCCCGCCTCCTGGCTCTTCCTTGGGGGAGCCCCGCCGCCCACATATGGATCTCAGGGCCTCCCGGAGAGGGGGCCCCATGCGGAGGACAGAGGGCCTCTCCGCCCAGGCTGCCGAGGCCCTGCCGTGGGATCTCAGGTGGGCATGACCCCTGAGCCTGTTTCCCATCTGTGCAAACAGGCAGGATCACTGTGTCTAAGGGCGTGGTGAGGGCCTTGGAGGGCCAGATCAGCGTGTGGCCCATGGCAGTTAGCCAGGCTGCCTGACCACAGGCCCTCCCTCCCAGTCACCCGCCTCCCCTGGCCACATGGGTGTGCGGACCTTATTAGCTCATAACCGGTCAGTGGTGTCTGGTGTTGCCTGCGGACCAGACATCTCCTGTGAGCCTGGTGCTAGGACAGACACCTTCTAGGCAGGCCTCCGCCAATAACCTCAGGACGTGTTCCTATGTCCAGATGCACTTCATTTCTTTAAGCTCGGAGAGGATGGTTCACTTTTCCAAGGACACACAGCGGGAACACGTCAAGACCAGAGTCAAACCAGGACCTGCCTGGCTCCAAAGTTCCATGAGTTACCCACAGCAGGTGTTCCCAGTCATGGTAGGTGTTCCCCTCATGGCAGGTGTTTTCCCCATGCAGGTGTTCCCTTCACAGCAGGCGTTCCCCTCACAACAGGTGCTCCCATCCCAGCAGGTATTCTCCTTATGGCAGGTATTTCCCCCACGGCAGGTGTTCCCTTCGCAGCAGGTGTTCTCCTCACAGCAGGTGTTCTCCATCATGCAGGTGTCCCGTCACAGCAGGTGTTCCCCTCACACCCTCACACCAGGTGCTCCTTGCCACAGCAAGTGTTTCGCACAACTGCTGAAGCCATTTGGGTGGGCCCCAGTCAGGGGCTGTCGCAAATAAAGCTGCTATGCACATTTGGGGACAAGTCTCCCTGTGAACACATGCTTCCATTTTTCTTGGGTAAATACATAAAAGCAGGGTTTCAGATCATGTGCTGAGTGTACGTTTAACTATAAGAAACTGCCAGGTGGTGTCCATAGAAGCCACTCCATCCTGGACTCACAACCATCCGTGATGCTCCTCTCACTTCATGTCCTCACCAACACTTGCCGTGACCCGTCTTTCTAGCTTAGTCACTCCAGTGGATGTCCGATGGTGTCTTGTTGCAGTGTGGCTTGGCAATCTCCCAAATAGTCTTTCATGGAGGGCCTGCTAAGCTCTTTTGCTGACTTTTAACAGCCTTTTTTGTCTCCTGATTGAATGGTAAAAGTTCTCTATAGATGTTGTGCATCAGTCCTTCACCAGACATAGGTTTTCCATCTAACTTTCCACCAGCTGGCAGTTTGCTTTTGTGGCCTTTTTTCTTTTTTTCTTTTTGAGTTAGAATCTCACTCTGCCGCCCAGACTGGAGTGCAGTGGCACGCTCCCGGCCATCACAGCCCCGACCTGCTGGGCTCCGGCGATCCTTCCGCCTCAGCCTTCCGAGTCGCTGGAACTACAGGCGCGCGCTACCATGACTGGCTAAATTTTTGATTTATCATAGAGATGAGGTCTCACCAAGTTGCCCGGGCTGGTCTTGAACCTGTGGGCTCAGGCAATGCACTCGCCTCGGCCTCCCAAAGTGCTGAGCCACTGAGCCCAGCCTGTGGCTTTTCATTTTGCATTTCCTTCAGTCTAAAGACTTCCCTCAACTTCACTGTAACATTTTCGCTTTTGTGTGCTTTAAGGGTCTTTCTATTGCCTTCATTTATTTGGTAACAGCTTTGACACTTATTTTATTCATATACAACATAATGCACAATTAGGCTGGGCATGGTGGCTCACGCCTGTAATCCCAGCACTTTGGGAGGCTGAGGTAGGAGGATCACTTGAGGCCAGGAGTTTGAGACAGCCTGGGCAACGCAGTGAGATCCTGTCTCTATCTGCATGGTCATGTGCGCGCGTGCACACGCACACACACACGCACGCACACCCCTCATAATTCAGTGAGTTTTTGTGTATTCAGACTTGTGTATCCACCACCACAACCCATTTTAAAACATTTTCATAACCAGGAAAAGAAACCCCACACCTTTTGGCAGTCTCACCTTCATTTCTGAAAGAAAATTTCTGGCTTGGTATAGGCCTGTTTGGTAGATATTTTTCTTTCAGGATTGAAAAAAATGCTGTTCTATTGTTTCCTGGCATGCATAGGGTCTGACGAGGAGTCTGCAGTCACTCTCTTGTTCCTTTGCAGATAATGTTATTTTCTTCCCCCTCTTGTTACTTTTAAGATTTCTTTTTACCGCTGGTTTTCAGAATGTGATTGCGATGGATTTGGTAGTTTTTTATTGTGTTTATGTTGCTTGGGGTTCATTGAATCTTGAATGCAGGTGGCTCACGCCTATTATCCCAGAACTCTGAGAGGCGGAGGCAAGAGGAAAATCTGAGCTCAGGGGTTTGAAAACAACCTGGGCAACTTGACAAGACCCCGTCTCTACAGTAAATAAAAAAAAATTAGACAGGGTGGTGGAACACACCTGTAGTTCCAGCTACTTGGAAGGCTGAGGTGGAAGGATTGCCTGAGTCCAGCAGTTTGAGGCTGCAGGAGCTGTGAGTGTGCCACTGTACTCCAGCCTGGGTGGCAGAGTGAGACTCTGGCTCAAAAAGGAAAAAAAAAGGAATCTTGAACTCATGGTTTCATCATTTGAACCAAATTTGGAAACGATTCAATCATTATTTATTTAAAAATACTTTGGTGTCCCTCCACCTGCCTAGACGGACAGGCAGATCTATATCTACAGATCAATGATATGCTTTTTGTGTTATTCAGTCATTTTTTTCTCTCTGTGCTTCAGCTGGAATGATTTATGTTGCCGTGTCTTCAAGTCTGTCTCTCTTTCCTTCTGCAATACCCAATCAACTGCTCATTCCTTCCAGGGAAGTTTCCATTTCAGGCATTGTATTCTTAATTTCTAAACATTCCACTGGCTTCTTCTTACAGCTCCCATAACTCTCCCACCTCTGTCCTTGTTTCCCTTAAATACTTAAACACATTCATAACATAACAGCTACTTTAAAACCTCTGTCTGCTAATTTCACTATTGCTATAATTTCTGGGTCTATTGCTGATTTTTCTTCTGGGTCACACTTTCCAGTTTCTTTTTACAATAGTACTTTCTGATTGGATGTTGAACATTGGAATTTTATACTGTTGGGTGCTGGATTTTCTTTTTTTCTTGTGAAGTGCTGGGCTTTGTTCTGGCATGCAGTTGGCTTATTTGCAAATCAGCAGGGTCTTTTTTATTTTTTTGAGGTGGAGTCTCACTCTGTTGCCCAGACCGGAGTGCAGTGGCACACGCACAGCCACCCCAGTGTCGACCTGCTGGGCTCCAGCAAGCTTTCCGCCTCAGCCTTCCAAGTAGCCAGAACTACAGGCACACGCTACCACACCCAGCTAATTTTCTAGTTATTGTAAGAGACAAGGTCTTGCCAAGTTGCCTGGGTTGGTCTTGAACCCACGGGCTCAGGCAATCCACTCACCTTGGCCTCCCAAAGTGCTGGGATGACAGGCTGAGCCACTGAGCCTGGCCAGCAGGGTCATTTAAAAAAAAAAAAAAACTAATTAAAAAAAGTAGTGCCAAGTGTTCACTATGTTGCCCAGGCTGGTCTTGAACTCCTGACCTCAAGTGATCCTCTCACCTTGGCCTCCCAAAGTTCTGGGATTACAGCTGTGTGGCCTGGTGCCCAGCCAGCGTGACCTTTTGAGGCTTGTTTTGTACTTTGCCCATGCTTGTTTGTTGTAGCCTTTGTTTGGGGCTATTTTAATCCTATGAATAAGACATGACGCTTTCCGTGTCCCCACCTCATGCCCTGGGTGTTTAGCAAGAGATCTCCACTCTGGCCAGAACTCACATGTTTCCCAAACCAGGAAATAGTTCAGCTTATAGAAACCTGGTCATTCTTTGCCCGACCCTGTGATGTTTCCTCTGTGTCTAGAAGGCTTCGTATTTGGCCAACCACTCAAAGGCACCCGTGCAGATCTCGAAGTCCTTGCTCTCGGCTGTCCCCTCGGGCATTCTGCTGGATGCATCCCAGCTGCCACTGCCTTTGCAGTGGCTGTCCCCTCGCCGGGAGAATGCCACACCCTCTTTGGGCCCCTGCCCCCACTGTCCTTCAGGAAATTGCTCCCGGCAGAAGGCCGGGGCCATCGCAGTGCTCACTCGTGTCTTTCTCCGTCCTGAGAGCTGCAGTCGGGACACAGCTGCTCTGTGTATTTTGCCCAGTTTCCCAGTTGCTGGTGGTGGGCGGAGGAGTCCGTCTCCGTGACCCCCGCATGGCCAAAGTCGTCCAGTATTATTTTTAAAACAGTGGATCATCCAGCTTTTCCAAACCAACTGTCAGTGCCTCGGCCTCATCGCCAAGCAACGTGCACAGAAACCAAACATCCCGGCAATCCCTGGAGAACCGTGACCCGGGTCACGCTGCCGGGACCCACGGCGGGCACTCCGTCGAAATGCTCCTTGTCACCCTCACCGCCCCTCCTAAGCACCCTCTGACAAAGGTCCCGTTTCTGTCCTGGGCACGTGCTGTGACCACAGAGAAGTGCTTTGGCGACAATCCGGAAGGAGTCCCCTGCAAACTGGGCGTGGTGAGCCCTGGGAGCGCAGAGTAGAGCATAAACTCTGTTTCGGTTTTTTATTCTTTGTCTTCTGGAAACAGAGCATTTCCCCTGGGAGGCGTGCATGGGGGGGCTGGCTGTAGAGGGAGGGAGAGGGGAGGTGGGCTGGCCCCAGGAGGGGCGGCTGCCTGTGGCCTCCCAGGGTGCAGACAGAGGATTGGGTGTGGCCCAGCCTCTGGATGAGGAACCAGTCTCTCCAGCAAGCATTCACTGCCCAAGGGCTCCCTGGCAGGCTCTGGGACCAAGAGGAAGGAGACCCACCCCGGGGTGAGGCTGCAGGACACAGTGTGGGGGGTTGGGAAGGGCCAGGCCCTGGGGCTCAGGACGGCTGTGGTACAGGAGGGGGCAGGGGTGGGGGGACAGGGGGAATGCTTTCCTGGGGGGCGGGAGGGACCTGGGCTATTGCCGCCCGCTGTCGCTTGTGCACACAGGTGCTTGGCAAAGCCCGGCTGAATGAATGAATGAATGAATGGGCATATGGATGGACTGCAACAGACCCCAAAGCTCCTCTCGGCAGGCCATGGAGCTTGGACTTTCTCTTGGGGGCCGTGGAGCCGCGTGGAGGAGGGACGGGGGGCGCGGAGGCAGGGGGTCCAGCATGCAGGCCGCGGCAGGACCCCGTGCCGGCCGGAGAGAGGGCGGTGGCCAGGCAGATCTCGGACCGAGGAGGGGGAAGGGACAGTCTGGGAAGACACCCATGCTGGGGCTCAGGCCTCTGCTGGGATGGCGGCGACGTCACCCCCGGGTTGGGGACCCCGGGAGCAGAGCCAAGGTGAGCAGAGGGACGGGGGGGGTCGGGGAGGCTGGAGGAGACCCATGCCAGCCCCAGGGCCAGCCATGGAGATGCCCCACGATGCAGGGGTGGAGAGCCCTAAGCTAGGGGAGACAGGGCAGAGGTGACCCCGCACCCACAGGGAGGAGGGGCGGAGAGGAAGGGGAGGTGAGGGCTGGGCTCAGAGAGGGGCAGGGGGAGACTCAGAGAGGGCTCCGGGGCGATCAACGCCAGTCCTGCCCCGACGTGCTGTGCGGCCTGGACACGCTGCACGACCTCTCTGCGCCTGGTCCCGGGGAAGGCTTGGGGTGGACAAGGGGAAGGAGGTGGGCGGGGAGGGGCGACTCACCGGCAGACGGCGCACACGAAGCAGTCGGGGTGGTAGGTCTTGCCCAGCGCGGACACCACCTCGCCCTCGATGAACTGGTCGCAGCTGAAGCAGCGTGTGCCGTAGAGGCGCTGGTAGTCGCGCGTGCAGATGTACTCGCCCTGCCGCACGAAGAAGCCGCCCTCGGCCAGGTCGCAGCCGCACGCTGGGGGGACACACGGTGGCCTCAGTGGCGGCGGCGGCCCTCTCCACGCTCCCCCGGCCCCGGGGTCCCCCCTGGACGCTGGGGGGCCGGGCTCCGACAGACTCCGCCGCCAGCCCCTGCGTCTGGAATTGAGGGGACTTTTCCTGTGGAAGCTTCTGGAAAGGGACCCTGGCCCGAATGCCCCCCAACCCCAGCTTCTTCAACCCCAGCAGGGATGCCCCAAGCCCCTCCCCTCCTCCAGGCAGGCTGCTGCCGGCACTGGATATAACAGATGAGAGAAAGGCCAAGATCCGAGCACCTACTATGCGCCGGGCTCCATTCTGGGGGCTGCAGACCCCGTGGGAGGACAGACCAGGTCCCTGTGCTGGGTACCCTGTCCACATGGAGGCTCCCCAAGTCCCCTCTGCACTCCTCAGGGTCCCCGTGTCCTCACAGCCCTCGAGGCCTGTCTCCCCGCCTCATGGACAAGGCCGGACCCTGCAGGAGGACGCGCCCTGGATCCGGGAGTGTGACTCCCCTTGCTCCTGCCCCCTCACCGGCTCCAGGAAGCGGAGGCTCCAGGGTCCTGTGGCAGGGTGGGAGAACTCTGCCAGGGGTGGAACAGAGCGCCCGCCCCCGGGGACAGCCTGCTGGCCACCTCCGCCCGGAAGCCCTGAGTCAGGTCCTAGGACCCGTGCATGTTCCTTCCATGCCACCCCCTCAAGCACAGGGGCAGGTGGGAGTCACACACAGTGGCAGGGGGAGAGGCCGACCACTCGCCCTGGCCACCCCAGCCCCTCCCGACCTGGAGTCACAGAGGAAGCCCCTGCGGCCCCAGCTCAGCCGGCCTGCCATGTCCCAGCACCCACGGGCGGGAGCAGCTCTGAGTGCTGAAAAGCCGCACAGCCCTCATGCGCCTTCAAGTCGACACCCGGGGGCCATCATTCCCGGCGAACTGACGCAGAAACAGAACCCCAGGGACCGCGTGTTCTCAGTTATACGTGGGGTGTCAACATGGCACCCACAGGCAGAGAGACAGAACAGCGGACACTGGGGACTCCTGGAAGGGGAGGGGCGGGTTGAAAGACCACCCACTGAGGACCACAGCCACCGTCTGGGCGTCGGCTCCACACAAGCTCAGGCATCGCCGTCCCTGACACCGCGTGACAGACCCACACGTGTTACCCTGAATTTAAAATTAAGAAGCAAATAACGCTGACACCTCAAAGCTTGCATCACAGAACTGGTCAAAGACCATCAACTCTGCATACCGCAGGCGCGGGTGCCTGTCCACTGAGCTGCCCTGTCACCCCTTCTCTCCAGGGCCTCGGGGGGGAACGTCGAGGCAGGGGCCAGACACCGAGCTCCGTTGACAAAACCCACGACTCTGCCTGAAAATTCTTTATCTCTGAAAATTCTTTATCCCGAGGGCTCCGGCATCTCCATTTTTCTACAGAGACATCAGTGCTACCGATAAGGTGAGGCGTAAACCAGGCAGCCGAGAACCCGGACACTCAAACTGCCCGGATTCAAACCCCAACACTGCCGGTGGGCTTGGCTGTGTGTCCCTGGGCGAGTTTCTTAACCTCTCTGGGCTTCCTCGTTCTCATCCGCAACCCAGGACCCGCTACAAAGACATATGTGGCACACAGAGGAGCCTCTTGTGAGCTGGGGCGAGGTGGGCCTGAGGGGTAACCAGCACCCAGGCCCGCTGCCGCCACGGCTGGCGGGGAAGGCCACAGCCCGCAGGTGTGCTCTGTTTCTCGGCTGAAGCTGGCACCACCAGGCACACAGGCCAGCCCGGAGAGGCGCAGACGGTTCTGGGTCTTACTTGGGAGGGCTGGAGTCCTCCCATTCAACACGCCCGGACCGAGACGGCGCCTGGGCGGAAAGGTGGCAGGCGTTGGCGCTCCAGGCCTGGCACGGGCTGTTTTCCCATCGCTCGTGAAGATGTGAGACCTTGAACGGGGAGAATGTGGCTGTGCCCTGGTGCCCCCGAAAGGGATGCCAGCCCACGCTTGGGGTGCTGGGAGAGTGAGCAAAAGAACTTTCCGGCCCGGCCTGCAAGATCTGTGTTGTTAACGCTGCTTGACAGAGGAGGACGCTGAGGCTCAGAGGGGTTGAGCGGCCCGCCCAAAGTCACACAGCTGGGAGGCGGCAGGAGTGAGAAGCCCATCCTGCCAACGCCGGCTGACCTGAGCGACCAAGGTCCCCGCTAGGTGGTCCAAACCCGGACCTCCGCCCGCTACAACGAAAACGATCACGTTCACCGGGCATTTTAGAAGTCCTTGTCGAGACACACCTTGGCTTTCTGTTTTGCAACATGTGGAGTCAGCATAGGCTCTGGGGGAGGCGGGGCAGGGTGGGTGAGGTGGCGCCCTCTGGACGCACGCGGGGGCGGGGCCGGCGGGAAGAGTGACTCAGCTCCACTTTCGGGAATATCAGCCGGCCACTCCAAAGACTGCTGGCACATTCCTGCCCTGTGATCCAGTGAGCGCTCTCCTGGGCTCCGTCCCGAGGAAGTGACCGAGGTGACCCGCGGAAGGTGGATGGCGATGACGGTCCCTGTGGCATCGCCACCATGGGGCGCAGCAAACACACGCCCAGGTTTCGCGCCAGGCCGCCTGCGTTCAAATCCTCACTCCTGCCACTTGCCCGCTGTGTGACCTTGGACAGTGGCTCAGCCTCTCTGAACCTCAGAGTTCTCATCTGTCACACAGTGCTAACAACAGAGATCTTGCACAGTGAACCCCACAGGAGGTGACTGTTGATTGTGGGCAGTGGCGGGAGGGGAGCCTGGGCAGACACCGAGAGGCGTGGATGACGGGGGAGTGTTTGCGGAGCAGCGGGCGTCAATACCTCAAGCTCAGGCAGACAGCGGGCCCTGGGATGTGCAGACTCAGGTGGAGGAGGAGGAGGAGGAGAGGCCGGGCTCGGCGGCTCAGCCTGTCACCCCAGCACTTTGGGAGGCCGGGGCGAGTGGATGGCCTGAGCCCGTGGGTTCGAGACCCACCTGGGCAACTTGGAGAGACCTCATCTCCACAATACATCCACAATGAGCCGGGCGTGGCAGCGCGCACCTGTAGTTCCAGCGACTCGGAAGGCTGAGGCGGAAGGATCGCCGGAGCCCAGCGGGTCGAGGCTGCGGCGGCCGGGAGTGGCCACTGCACTCCAGTCTGGG